AAATAAATCCGTCGCTGTTTTATAATTTTAGTCCATGTACACAACCAGAGTTTATTCAAATTAGCAATATAAGTTTGAATATGCTAATTTTCATATTCAATATAAGGTATATTGCTTTTATAAATAAGTGGTGTAATTCTCCTCCAAACTTAGCAGTCTGAAAAATTCAATGTTACAAACAATCATAATTAGTTTGTTTTTATAGCATGTTTATACATGTTTGGTGACACTACACACATTGATAACATTATTTCATTTATATAAAGGTGACACATAATTGTTTGATAACGTAATTCTTATTATGATTACAGTGTATTGTTTTACAAAACATTATAATGCAATGTTACATATAATAAATACTAAAGTAAAAATAAAACCCATGAATTCAATTGAAGTCGATAATAACTTGACATTGTATTAAGACAGTGTATTAAAGAATATAAATATAATATGAAATAAATATGATATTGTTTGACTTTTAGTTAACATATATCTAATCTAAATTAGATCATTTCTATCTGAAGATAAAACATCACGTGACATTTATAAAACGCTACTTTCAACAATAAATGCAGTAACAGTTTTTTTTTATAATTTATGAAAAGTAATAATTATAAATAACTTAAAAATCTTATTTCAAGAGCAGCGCTTTAAATGGATTTACTGCACTCAGTTTCAAGCGTACAAAATAAATAATAACAGAATATATCGACCATAACTCAAGCCTTAAAATCGTATTCATTTACTTTAAATTTTGATTGACTGGGTGAATTACGGTTTATTTTTGTGCGTAATTAATTACATTATGTACTTACAAAATAGATCAACTATTATTTGAAATCTTATTTATCAATGTTTATGTGTGAATGATTGACGGATTCCTGATAACCGCCATTCAAGACATTAACGGATGTTTCTAAATTCAAGTTTATGTCATTTTCTTTTTAAATGTTAAATTCTGCCCAAACCGGTGCCCGGTGCTAGGGAGGATGAACGGTAGCTTGCACTTACCATAAATGCCTTTTATGGGCACCGTTACACTAACTAGTTACTAGCTTAATGTATTGATCGCAATTAAATTTTAAAATGTTATCAATCAAGAATTAAATTTTTATGGAATTGCTGAACAGTTTTCCACTCTATTCGTAGAATATTGTTTGCAAGATAAATTGATCCCTGATTTAAGTTTTGGAACATGCTATTTATAAACGTATTCAACGAAAGGAAGTTTATTTGTGGTATTCAGCTTGAAGGTCACTGCGTTTCATAACGTTTTGGAAAGATAGATTTTATAATTACTTAATTTTTAAATCTTGAACACTTTGGAGTGGATTTATCTTAAATGAAAGGTTTATATTGTGAACTGTACATATTGGTATGGGCTGGAATTCGGTATGATAGTTAAACCTGACAACGTGTAAGGTAATCAATACTTTAAATTTACACTAAATTTTTTGTTTTATTTTCTTGTTTAAACATGCTTAATAGATAAGCAATTTATTAACATAAGAAGTCGCACATTTCATTAGTCTCGTATGGATGTTGCAAGCTGAACGTTAAAAATGACCTTTCGTGGTTGATGTATGTTCTTTTTGTTTATGCATGTGCATTCCATCGGGTTTAGGGTGTGTGTGATCGACAAAAGGAAATTTGACAATTTACCAAATGACAATTTTTAGTTTGATTAAATAATAAGATAGTTATTGTATGAGTATTGAAGTCTATGGACCTGACTTATGAGATATAACCAAAGTGGGCACATATTCCATTTGTATTTCAACTATTGATAATACAATCAATAGAATTGTGTCACTTGAAATTTCGTAAAATATGCTGTTGAAAAAATGTTTATGTTGGTTAAGGTGATTTAGAATAACGATTTATCTGATGACATAAAATAAAAATATGTTTGTTCGAGAACATTTTATTATATATCTGCTATATAAATAAATATATGTAATATACATAGAGGATATTGAATGAGTGTAGGTTTAATACAAAATTTATTGAACGAGTTGAATAAAATCATATTATGCGAGCCTCTGGCGAGCATAATATTGTTTTATTCAACGAGTTCTATAAATTTAGTGTTGAATCTACACGAATGTAATATTCTATTTATCACATATATAAAATAAGAACGGTAAACTGTTATCAAGAGTCATTTTTCTTTGACGCGCCTATATAATGTAACGCTAACATTAGCGCGCTTTAACGTTATGTTTATAGCATAAAAGACGTGACGTCAAAGTGTTATTACACTAGTGTAATATCGTCTAGTGTAAAATCGTTTTTATTAAATGACTTTATTACACTCCTGCGCCGCGGTTTATGTGATAAGATCATGTATGTCACAATTACCAACCACTTAAGTACATGTATAACTCTTTCTTGGTTTGTTGTTATGTACAGTACTAAACACTATCAATGCAATTATTTATTGTAGTACCGACCATCAATTTTGCACCAATTCACTTAAATCAAGTCATCAAAAGTGAAGAGAAAGTGGGAAATTTTACTGACATTTTATCAAAATTTACCGAAATAAGAAATATTTGGAAATACTCAAGAAATACATACCTCTTAAACGAGAACTTTTATATTTAAAATTTCGTGACATCCAAAATAAAATGGTTGATAGGTAAATTAAACTTCCGTTGATAGAGATGATATAACCAATATCTATGGTGGCTGATTTGTGCCATTCGTGTTTTCGCCCCACGACCCCGCCAAACGAATAGTCGAGAATTAACAAGTTAAAATGGCGGGGGCGCGGAGCGAAAACACGCTAATTTGCGGGGTCGCGTGGCGAAAAGTCGAGATTTTATTGAAAAACCGCGGGGCCGCGAAGTGAAATGTTTATTTTATAGGGCGCTTATTAGCATGCTGTTATTCGCGCCCCGCCAAGTTATTCTTTAAAAACTCGACCTTTCGCTCTGCGCCTCCGCTTATTAGCGTGTTTTCGGTCCGCGGCCACGCCGTTTTTGTAGTTAAAATCTCATCTTTTCGCTCCGCGCCCCCGCGGTTTTATTTATTCTTTGAACCTCGTTCGGCGTCCCCGCTAATTAGCGTGTTTTTGCCCCGCGCCGTTTAATTTCTTATATCTCGCTCCGCGACCCCGCGGGACGAAGAAATAAAACTTCTCCCCGCGGGGTCGGGGGTCAATATTTAAGAATTAAAACGGCGGGGGTTCGGGGCGAAAACACGCTAATTAGCGGGGGCGCAGGGCGAGATTTAAGAAAAAACTTCGCCCCGCGGGGTTGCGGGACGAGATTTAAGAAATAAAACGGCGGGGACGCGGAGCGAAAACACGTTAATCTTCGGGGGCGCCAAACGAGGTTTAATAAATGTATAAAACGGCAGTGGCGCGGAGCGAAAACACTCTTATTAGCGGGGGCGCTGAGCAAAAAGACGAGATTTTAACTACAATAACGGCGGGGGCGAGGAGCGACAAAAACGCTAATTAGCAGGGGCGCGGAGCGAAAAGTCGAGTTTTTAAAGAATTATTTGGCGGGGGCGCGAACAGCAGCACGCTAATTAGCGCCCTATAACAATAAATATTTCGTTTCGCGGCCCCGCGGTTTTTTAAATTAATCTCGACTTTTTGCCCCGCGACCCCGCTAATTAGCGTGTTTTCGCTCCGCACCCCCGCCATTTCAACATGTTAATTCTCGATTTTTCGTTATCGGGGTCGCGGGGCGAAAACGCGAAATGGCACAAATCAGCCACCATAAATATCACACTTTTGTTGTATTTGTCATCAGAACATTGGGTTTTCATGGTAATTTTGTCGTTTAATTTGTTCTTTTTATGCAAATATAAACAAACAAAAAAAATATGAAAATTTATCAGGAATATGTCTTTGCAATTAAAATCTGCATTTATTTTACAGTTTAGTCATATCTTTTGTTTGAACAAATAGTTATTTTCCTACGCTTACAACGCATTAAAACGTTCTCAGCAACGGTAATATGGTATGAAATATTTACATAATAATTATTTATAGTTACAATATCGATGTAATTAAGCGTTAAAATGCTGATAGCAAAGAACATAAAACTAATCGTCATTATTATGGAAATAGGTAAAGGTTATGTTATAGTTACTGTGAACAAATTGAATTTTTAGCTAATCTGTTTATTTTATCTTGATATTAATGTTAATTTAAAAATGAATTATGGGCAAATACCCAACAGGTGTTAGTTTCTGCCAAAATGGCCACTGATGCTAAGTAAAAATATTAAAAAATATAGCACAAGCAATATAAATCAGTGGCTGTTTCATAATTTAGCCAATGTACACAACCAGGGTTTATTCAAATTAGCAATATAAGTTTCATGCTTATTTTCATAGTCAACTTAAGGTATATTGCTTTTATAATTAGCCCTTTATTTCTACTCGAAACTTAGCAGTCTGAACAATTCAATGTTACAAACAATCACAATAAGTTGTTTTTATACCATATTTATACATGTTTGGTGACACTACATACATTGTTTACATTATTTTATTTATATAAAGATGACACATAATTGTTTGATAGCGTATTTCTTATTATTATAATTCAATTAAATAATAATATTGTCTTTATTTTGTATATGTATCAATTTGTAATATATGTTATCATCACTAAAAAGTGGAAATAAAGAGTATATACTTGACAGTATGGTAAATAATATCAATATAATATAATATCAATATAATGGGATATAAATATGATGTTATGTTAACATGAATCGCATCTTAATTATATCATGATATTTTGCTTCTGTCTTATGATCAGACGTCAAGTGACATTTATAAAACGCTTCTTCCAATAATAAATGCGGTAACATTTATCTATAATATATGAAAAATAATTATCGACAAATAACTTAGTCTTATTTCCAGAGCCTCCCTTTTAATTAAGTTTAAAGTCGTAAACAATAATAACACAATATATCGACTATAAGTCAAGTCTTAAAATCTTATTCATTAACTTTAAATTTTGATTGACTGAATGAATTACGGTTTATTTTTGTGTGTTATTAATTACATTATGTACATACAAAATAAAATAACTTTATCTCGCTTTGAAATCTTATATATAACAAAACATAGGGTCACCAAACATGTGCTAATGACTGACGGGTTCATGATAACCGCCATTCAAAACTTAAGCGGATGTTTATTAATTCAAGTTGTTTTTTCATTTTCATTTTAAGTGTTAAATTTTGCTCCAACCGGTACCCGGTGCTAGGACGGTGGACGGTAGCTTGCACTTCCACTCCTGTCTTTGAATGGACACAGTTGAACAGAGTCTGCAACGGTGTTGTTCGTCGTTCTTTAAAGTTTCCATTAAACATGTACATTGATTCATTTTGATTTGATACATAGGAGATTATCAGTTATTTAATTACTTACATAAACAATATCGATCGCAAACAGCTTTACGATTTTATTCATCGAGTTTCAAGTTTTTTATAATTTCTTTAAAAACAGGGCTTTATTCTATGCGTAACTAGTTACTACCTTAATTATAGAGTTAAACTGTTATCAATCGGATATAAAATTTTATTGGCACTGTTGCTCTGTTATCCACTCTATATGTAGACAATTGTTTGCAAGATAAATTGGTCCCGGTTTTTCATTTAGCAGTTTTAAAGTGGATGGTTTACAAGAATTTCATAGTTATATAGAAATATTAGAATTTTATCATTTGGATATTCCTATGAAATATTTCTTAAAGAAGAAATGTTCGATAGTGATTTATTAAGTGATTTATTACATCACAATTATATGAATGATAATAATATTCTGTTCTAGGACACTTTATCATATGCTTTATATAGAAATGTTATATCGGATAATGTATCTCACACATAGTTACCAACAATACCATTATGATATCATTTAATGGGTTGGTAGCATGTATGATAATACTATCAACATAATTATTTATGATATTACAGACCTTCCATAATGGACAAATTAAATGAGTTTTACCAATGGTTTCTTTTTCATCCATTTCATATTATTGTTTTAAATTCCATTGGTAAATTTCAGCAAGAAACAAAAATTATAATTGATATAAAAATATTCTTAATACAATTTAAAAACTTGACCTAACCATGGCATTATCGCAATTGTCAGAATATGTTAAGTACCGCTAATTAAATATTCGGATATCTCAAAGTTTTCCTGTAAGTTATTGTTGTTCTTAAGACATGGGAAATATATACATTGATAAAATTAGGACTAAGACTAGAGAAACAATTCAAAGTTTTGATTTTTTACTTAAAGGTTTGTTTCTTTTACAAACATTTGACATCTTCGGCATCAAGAAGTGTACATAAGAAACCCAATTTATATTCGCGAATACAAATTTTCGCGATTTGCCGATGTCGGACATATTCGCGAATATTAATTTCCGCGTTTTCTTG